TACTGCAAAAAAAAAAAAAAGATTGCAGGGGTGGAGGCTGAAAGCAGCCCCCCAGGGCTCTGTAAGTGGCTGAGGTGGCTCTGGGACAGTGCGGAAGGGCAGGGCGGCCCCCAAGGCCAAGGGTGGGGCGGGTGGGTGTAGCTTTGGCAGAGCACCCCCCCCCCCTGAGGCCCTGAGGGCTCAGCACTGAGCTGCACCCCCAACCCCATCAGCAACACACCCTCCCCAGCCTGCCCCTGGTGTCTGGGTCATGTGACAGCCACATGGGGCCTGAACGGCTCGGGTGTGCACAGCCTGGGTCCCCCTTCCCAGCCTGGGACTTGGCCCCCAGCACAGGGGCCCTTGCTGGCCCTGTCTCATGGGGAAGTTCATGATCTAGAGGTTTATTGATAGCCAGGTCATTTGCACCAGGTGCCCCTAGCTGAACTGCTAAATTGCCCAGGTTGGAGTCAAACTTTCCCTCGAACCCCATGTGGGCCCAGGATGCAATTCCCAGGCAAGATGCCTTCTCTGGGAAACAGTTATTTGTTCTTTTGGCTTTTGACTGATTGGGTGAGGCCCACCACCCACGCCTGGAGGGAGCTCTCAAAGTCAGCTGTAAATATCAACTTAACCTCAAGTACTAAAACATCTTCACAGCAACACTGGAGCAATACTGGTACAGGGTTTTCATGAACGACTGGGTACAACCGCCACCCAAGGTGACACATGAGACCAGCTGTCACAATGAACCCAGAGCCGGACAAGCAGCCCTGGCCCCCAGACACAACCAAGCAAGGCAGATGCCACCCTGGTCTATGGATGGGCCCATGCATCCGCCCCAGGGATCAACGTCATTGGGGGAGGCTTCCAGCCACTTTTATTCTTTCTTTAATAACTTTCCCACTATCTAGTGTTTATTAAATTATATGATTGTAATATCTACTTACTGATCTATTTATTTATTTTGGTGGTATGGCCTTGGGCCTGCTAGGCAAGTGCTCTACCACTGAACGACTCCCTCAGCCTTTTCATTCTTTATTTTGAGATGGAGTCTTACTAAGTTGCCCTGCCTGTCCTCGAACTTGTGATCCTCCTGCCTCAGCCTCCCAAGCGCTAGGACTCCTGATGTGTGCCATCATGCCTACTTAGGACTAAAATCATGACTGAAATAAAGATATTTTATAATGACCAGAGGCTTGATTTTTGTAGGAAAATCAACAATTTTAAAATTACATACACTATTCATAAAGTAACTTTAAATATAGAACACAAATACTGAAATAAATATAAGGAGAAGCAGACATAGGGGAGATTACTACTCATTTTCCTCTGTAATTGATAGAGAAGGCAGGGAAAAAAAAATCAGTGCGAGTCTGCAAGATTAAACAAGATTAAGGAACCCAACCTAAGCTGTCTCAGTAGGAGCATGAGCCTGTAACCCCAGGCAGTTAGGAGGCTGAGGCAGGAGGAACTCAAGTTTGAGGCCAGCCTGGACAATTTAACAAGAACTTGTCTCAAGATAAAAAATAAAAAGAAGCCAGAAGTGGCAGTGAATGCCTGTAGTTCCAGCACTCTGGGGAGGCTGAGGCAAGAGGATAGCAAGTTTAAATCTAGCCTGGGCAGCTTAGTAATTTAGTAAGACCCTGCCTAAAAGTAAAATAATAATAATAATAATAATAATAATAATAATTAATAAAAAGGACTGCAGATGTAGCTCAGGGTAGAGTACAGTACCCTTGGGTTCAATCCTCAGTGGTGCCAAAAGAAAAAGTAAAAGAGGGCCAGGGATTTAGCTCAGTGGTTCTGGTGCGTGCCTTGCAAGCGCAAGGTCCCGAGTTCGATCTCCTGTACCAAAAAAAAAAGTAAAAGAAAGCTGAATAATGGCTCTCTCTCTCTCTCAAGCCTACAGCGTACACCTCTACAGGGCACAGCCTCTGCAAGGACAACACGACATTTATAAAGGGACTATGGGGGCAGGGGGTACAGTTCATTGCAGCGGCCCTGGGTTCAATATCCAATACCAAAGGAAAAAAGAATGTTAATCGTTTGTTTTCCAATGTTCCTATAAAAGTCACAGTAATTCATAATAACTAATATTATACAATAAAATGTCTATTCCATTGGAAGGCTGAGACAGGAAGATTGCCACCAGTTCAAGGCCAGCCTGGGCTACGCATCGAGACTGTCCCAAAAACAAAACAAAACAGGGCCGGGGATTTAGCTCAGTGGTTCCGGCACCTGCCTCGCAAGTGCAAGGTCCCGAGTTGATCCCTGGTACCAAAAAAATAAATAAATAAATAAATAATTAAAAAAAAACAAACAAGAAAAAGGGGTGGGAGTGGCATGTAGATCAGAGTAACGGCTTGAGTTCAACCCCTAGTAACCTACACCACCCAAAACAAGCAAGCGTGGGGGGCCCACTGGAGCCTGGGGGACCAGGGGAAGGGCAGCTCTCCTGCCCCGTCAATCCTGAACTGTTTCTAACCCAGCGTTTATTGAGCACCTGCGCTGTGCAGGCTGCGGGGGGCGCTCCTGTCCCGGTCCACAATGCGCATCCCCTTTCCAGACCAGGAGACCAGAGAGGACACAGAGCCAGTCAGCTGGGGGGATTTGAACTCGGGACTTGGTCCCAGGTGTGGATGGGCGTCAAGACCTTACAGAGGGGGAAACTGAGGCCGAGGGCTGTGTACAGGACTCAGGCTTGGGCTTTTGGAAAGGGAAGTGAGTCCTCGAGGAAATGGCCCTGGGGGCTCATGGGACAGGAAGGGAGGACAATGGACAGACAGACTGCAGGGCGAGGGCTCTGCCCCTGCCCCCTCGGGACTGCTAGCAGGGCCGGGCTGACAGACCCCATTGTCGCCAAGGCTCAGGGCGGGGGCAGCTGTGCAAACATCGCTCCAGGCCGGACACAGAATGGCCATTGACAAGGTGGGGGAGGGGCTGCGCTGTGACAGCCAGGGAGTGGGGGCGGGGCGGGGCGGGTGGCTTGGGGGGGGGCCACCAGCACCTCTCAGCTGCACCGCCGGGAAGGAGGCCCAGAGTGGCTCACACACCAGCCTAGGACACACAGCCAGGGTGGAGGAGGGCTCAGTGACAGACACCCTGTGGGTTTAGTGCCAGGCTTCGGGCATGAGCAGGTGAGCCCAGAAACCCACAAGCTGCCGGAGTGAGTCCTGAGCCCCAGCTCAACTCAGATAGGGCTGGCAAGGTCACGGTGGCACACGCCTGTCATCCCAGCACTCTGGGAGGCTGAGGCAGGAGGACTGCAAGCTCCAGCCCAGCCTGGGCAACTAAGAGAGACCCTGTTTGAAAATAAAAAATAAAAAAGGGCCAGGGATGGAGCTCAGTGTAAAGGCCTGGGTTTCAGTCCCCACCCCACCCCCACACTCTGGGCCCCAGCTGTCTCCCCTGCGGGCACCAGAGGACCACTCAGATTTCCACAGGCCACGTGGGTGCCAGGTGGGGCTGGCAGTTGGGAGAACAGCTGGGCAGAGGGGCTGGTGGCCTCTGGCCGGGGAGGGAACACCAGCAGCTGCTCCACACCTGCTTGGGCCATCCGAGGGTGGTGGGCACCCCAAGGAGGCCAGGCCCTGGGTCTGTGTCCTGATGCTGCCACTGGAACTGGCTGGTGACTCTGGCTCTGTGTGGCTTCCTCTCCACGGGCCTCGATTCCCCATCTGTGCTTGTACCCAACCAATGGGTGATGCCATGTGGTGTGCACTCGTGACTGTTATTGATTTTTTTTTTGGTAGCAGGGATCGAACTTGGGTCCTTGTGCTTGCAAAGCAGGCAGCGAAACCACTGAGCTAAATCCCCGGCCCTAGACTATGTCTCCTTTTTTTCTTTTTTTGTTTTGGTATTGGGGATCAAACTCGGGTCCTTGTGCTTGTGCAGCAGGCATCGAAACCACTGAGCTAAATCCCCAGCCCGTGACTGTTATTGTTATTATTGTTCTTGGTTGGTTGGTTGGTTTGTTTGATACAGGGTCTCCCTACATAGCCCAGGCTGGCCTCGAACTCAAAGCAATTCTCCTGCCTTGGGCTCCCAAGTGCTAGGATCAAGGTGAGTACACACCCTGCTTGCTTCTGTGCCTCTGAGGGAATGAGCCCTACAGGCCTTTCTCAGGGCAGCCATGTCCTGGCCCAGGGGACCAGGGGTCAAGGTTTAGGAAGCCCTACACTGTGGAGTACTACTCTGCCATAAAGAAGGATAAACTTGAGTCATCCAACAGAAAAGGGATGCACCTCCAGACCATCATGTTAAGTGAAATAAATTAGCTACACAAGCTTAAATACCACATGGCTTCTCTTATGGGAGAAACCCAAATTATAAATAAAGATCAAAAATAAAAGATAGATAATAGGAAACAAGGAGATAGATCTTTCTCAGATGGGAAGAGGTTCAAGAGATGGAGGGAAGGAGGGGAGAGGGAGAAGAGGAAGTAAAAAGAATTAAGATGGGTTGTGCATGTGTACCAGCTCCCTACCAGGAATGTAATCATACACACTGCAAATGTGCCCCAAGAAAAATACATTTTTGAGGGCCAGGGATTTAGCTCAGTGGTTTCGCTGCCTGCTGCACAAGTGCAAGGACCCGAGTTTGATCCCCGGTACAAAAAATATATATATATCTTTTAAAAATGAAACAAAATGAAATACCATCTGCTCACTGCCTGCCTGGCCGGCTGCCCTGCCCACCCCTCCCACCATCCCATCGGAACCGGCTGACTCCAGGAGGGGTGCGAGGCTCAGAGCCTCCTTGCCCTATGAGCCCAGAGGGTGTGAGTCCCTTCGCTTTTCGGCTTTCTCTGGCATCCCAGACAGAATAACCACCTTAGAAAAACAGACTAAAAACGTAATGTGATAAATACATAAGTTTAAATTTCTCTCATTTTTTTTCATTTTTTATATAGCCCAGGCTGGCCTCCAACTTCCAACGATCCTCCTGCCTCGGCCTCCAGGCATGTACCACCACACCCAGCTTCATAAGAGTAAGTTTGTAGTCCAGAGCAGTTGTACCTGAAGACAGCCAGAGTGGGCTGCGCTGTGGCTCCATGGTGAGCATCACTTCTTAAATAATAGGGTGACCTGTAATTAAATCCGGGCACAAAGCTGGGCATGGTGGTGCATGCCTGTAATCCCAGCACTCAGGAGGCTGAGGCAGGAGGATCACAAATGCAACTCCAGCCTGGGCTACATACTGTATTTCCCTGGAAAATAAGCCCTCACATGTTTTTAAAAGATGTTTGTAATATAAGCCCTATCCTAAAAAGAAGTCCCCGTTAAGATGGTCAGCCAGACGCATTTAGTTCCACCACTGCAACACACGATGAGCATATTGAATTATAAGATGCTAACATTAACATATAATTAAATGTAAATAAATAATATTATTGACATTCTTTTTTTTTTCGTACCGGATTTCGAACTCGGGTCCTTGAGCTTGCAAGGCAGGTGGCAGAACCACTGAGCTAAATCCCTGGCGACATTAATTCTTAAAATAAATGATAATATACATTCTAATTAGATATTAGTAAATACCCTTAGCCGGAACCTTTGGACAAGAGGTAAATATCTATGTAAACTGGCGAACTCAGACTTACTGCCGAATCAGAGCTAGGACGCAGGGAGAAGGTGGCACTGGAGAATGAATGGACGCGGCTGTGTGGTCTGACAGGAATAGCAGGCTGCATGGGCGAGAAGCACTCATTTAAGGAGAGCTCTGTTGCTAGGCCTGAGAGGCTGAGGCCAATGGTTCTGGGGGAAATGGAGTCGCAAGCAATTCAGGCCGAGTAAAGGGCTTGGAGAGTCGTGACGGTATTCCTGAGGAAGATGCAGAACCATACTTGAATAAATGTATTCTTTTGTACGTGAAGAAATGAACAAATGTAGCTGTTTGAACATAAATAACTGCAAATTGTTGTACGTGAAAGTATAGGGCGTCCCCTGAAAACAGGCCCTATCACGTCTTTTGGAGGAAACATGAATGTAAGACCCGGTGTTATTTTCGGGGAAATGTGGTCGTGGGTTCAACGCCACCCTGGACCACATGGGAGACCTCGTTCCCCAAACCCAAAACCGATCAGTCCACGCAGACGCAGGTTGCCTCCTGTAGAACCTGGGCGCTTCTCCCGCTCTCTTTGGGGCCGCAAGGGAAAAGCAGACTCGCTTTACAACTCGCGCGCCACAGAGCGCTCACCGCGCACGCGCAGCTGAGCTGGGCCAGCCCTGACTTTAACCCAGCCCGAAGCCAACGATAGGGGGCAGGCGGGAGCCACCACCCTCACCCCAGAGCGCAGAGCAGCCAGGTGACCGCGGGAGGTCCTGGGGGATGGAGCCAGATGGGTTCAACCCCGAACGCACAGCTGGCTTTAAGGATCCCGAATGATTGATAGAGCATTGGAGGTGGGGAAGAAGCCCAGATCCTCCAGGAGGCCCTCCAAGGTGCGCCCTCCTCTCGGCATGCGGGTCACCCCACTTTGCAAGGATGCAGAAGTGCCTCTGCTGGCAGGGGTAGTTAGCTTTGCTTCTTGTCCTCCCGCCATTCATTCATTCATTCATTCATTCATTCGGAGACAGGATTTCGCTATGTAGCCCAGGCTAGCCTCCAACTTCCAGCAATCCTCCTGCCTCAGCCTCTTGAGTGCTGGGATACAGGCGTGCGTCACCACGCCCTGTCCCCTTTTGACCATTCATGGCTTGGGCTGCTTGCAACCAGAGCCAGGATTGACTGCACCGTCTTTACCCCACCAGATCTCTCCAAGGAGGTGCCCACCCCAACCCACACCACTGCCAGCGCGGTGTAACAGGGCCAGGAAAAGCCAGCGATGACGCGGCAGGTCTCTAGATGGGCCCTAGGGCTGCGTCCTTGCCCTGTCCTGGGGACCATCACTTCCCCAGTCTGGATTCAGAACACAGGACCGAGCTCATCAATTGGAGGCTGCCAGCTCTGTTGCAGAATTAAACCCTCCTACAGGAGAAGTGGGGCTCTCACAATACTCTCAGCATGGAAGGCCACATGCTTCCCAAGGGCCCAGTGTTTCAGCTGAGCCGCAGGTGGGGAAGGGTAGTGGTTTGACCGAGGTGGGCCCCGGTGTGGCTGCTCCAGCTGCTGTGCCTCTGCGGCCGAGAGCTGTGTTACTAGAGATCCAGTGTCAAGAAAAGTGAAGAGGATGGTGCCTTTCACCCTGGGGGCTCTCAGTCTCCACAAGGAGTCCCCACACTTCAGGAGGGACAATGACACATTAGTGTATTTCAGTAAGGGTGGCCCTGGCTGGACTTGGTGGTGCACACCAGTAAGTAATCCCAGCACTTGGGAGCTGAGGCAGGAGGATTGCCACAGTTAGAGGCCAACCTGGGCTACACAGCAAGACCCTGTCTCAGAAAACAAAAATAAAACAAAACAAAGAGACGACAACAACAACAAAAAAGAAAAAAGGGCTTAAGCAATGGAGAGGTCCCGTGGGCAGCCTGGGAGCAGCATGTGGAGCTTGGTGTCCGGATTCTCAGCTGAAGGGACAGGGGCAGGGTCACCCACTGCTTGAAGCATCAGCTGCCCAGTGAGCATCCTCTAACCGACTCCTCCAGGGCCACCAGCATGGGGATCCACTGCATAGACCAGGAGACAGGGATGGAGTGACCCGTCAAGGTCGCAGCTCTGGAGGTGGCAGTGCCTGGGTTCAGCCCCAACCTACAGCCAGGGCAGGAACTCTGGCCTCTGAGGGACGGGTGCCTGGGGCAGCTGCGTCCCAGGAAGGGACATTGAGCTAGGATTCAGTCGGTCCAGGACGGGCAGAGACAGTCCAGACAGAGAGCTGTGGACAGGCCTGGGTGAGGAGCAGGCGAGGGCTGCAGAAAGGGCAGCATGGCCGAGCACAGGGGCAGTGGGCATGGGAGACGGGCAGGAGTGGCCCTTCCCTCGGCCTGGGGGTGCCTAGCAGCTGATTCCAGCTACAGAATCCAGATGGACCCCAACAAATGTTTTTGGTTTTGTTTGTTTTGAGACAGGGTCTGGCTATATAGTTCAGGGTGACCCTGAACTCACTATGTATCCCAGGCTGGCCTGGAACTCGGTGATCCTCCTGCCTCAGCCTCCTGTGCTGGAATTACAGGCGTGGCTCACCACACCGGATGCAAGTGGGTTTTAACCCAGGCTGTGCCTCCTGGACCCAGGATCCACCAGGAGGGTTCTGGGCAGGGGAAGGAGGCTCTGGGCCCTATGGTAGGAGGGAGCATCGAGCGGCTGAAGGGACACAGGCAGAGGACTGGGGACAGGGAGCTGGGAACAGGAGGGAGGGAGGGTTTGGCATCTGCTCTGGAGCCATGAGGGAGCCACATCTGGGGGTGGGGACAAGACCTTTGTGTCCCCAAGGAGCCGACTCTGTGACCCAGGCCCTGTGGGAGCACGGGTGGGGGTGGCGTCTCCTCAAAGCCGCCATTGTCGCCCCCTCTCCTGCCTGTCTGGGCCGAAAATAGAGCCAAGCTGGTCTCGTGAGAAGGTTCAGGGAGAGGGGCCCGGAGTCTGGGCGCGTGGTACAGTTTCCCCCGGCCCTGCCGTGGCCGCGCTGGTGGCGCCGTCTTGTCTTTTGGGGCCCCGGTTCCGGCCGTGCCGAGTCAGGGGCCTGAACACCCGGTCCAGACACATGAGATGGAACCCTGCTTCCGCTCTACCTCAGGACCTCAGTTTCCCAGCAGCCCTGAGCGGGGCTCCCCCACATTCTGTGAGGCAGGGAATGTCGCCACCGCTGGCGACCCCACGTTCTAATGCCCTGCACATCGAGAGCACAGCCTCTGGCTCCCCGCACCCTGGAGACTGGGGATGGCTGTTGTCCCCAGCCCTTTGCTGTTTTTTTGTTGTTGTTAGTTTGTTTTTTTGGTACTGGGGATAGAACTGGGGTCCTTATGCTTGCAGGGCAGGCTGAAGAACCACTGAGCTAAATCTCCAGCCCAATAAGATTTAAGATTTTTTGTGTTTTTTGTTTTTGGTACAAGGGATCGAACTCAGGACCTTGTGCTTGTTTTGTTTTGTATGAGACAAGATCTCACTATGTAGTCCAGGCTAGTCTTTTTTTTTTTTTTTTTGGTACTGGGGATTGAACTCAGGTCCTAGTGCTTGCGCAGCGGGCGGCGAAACCACTGAGCTAAATCCCTGGCCCAAGAATTGTACTTTTTTTTGGTACCAGGGATCGAACTCGGGTTCTTGCACTTGCGCAGCAGGCGGCGAAACCACTGAGCTAAATCCCCGGCCCCTTTGCTGGATTTTTTTTTTTTTTTTGTATATTTTGATTTGCTGGTTTTTTGATTTTGGTTCTTCTCCTATGGATTGAACCCAGGGCCTTTGCACTGAGTTATATCCCCAGTCTTTTTTTGTTTTTATTTTGAGATAAGGTCTCGCTAGGTCGCTAAGTTGCCCAGGTTGGGCTGGCACTTGCCATCCTCCTGCTTCAGCCTCCCAGAGGAGGCTAGCTTCCTTTGCTGGGTTTCTCTGCCTCTGTAGCAGCTGCTCCTGGGCAGCAGGGGTCTTGGTTCCACCCTCGTGGGCACTTACCATGTTCTGGTCCTCCTGGTTGTGCAGAAGGTAAAACTGGCTCCCTGTCACCCGGCGTCCAGGCAGGCGCAGGGCCCAGGTTCAGAGCCAGGCCAGTGAGCGGGCCTCGCGCGCCCTCTAGCGGTCACCCTTCGCAGTCTCCCTGGGGCCGGCGCCCCTCGGTGAGCGGTGGGCTTCGGCGGGACGGGAAGTCCCTCCTCCCAGTCCCCCCCCCCCCCCCCCCCCCCCCCCCCCGCGCTCCTGCTGTTGCAGCTCCACCTCCCCGAGCTGAGCACGGTCTCGGCTGCGGCGCCCCGCCCCCGTCACCATGGAGACCGCTGTACACAGTCTCCTCTCCCCCTGCATCACCTGCGCTGCGGCCCAGGTTGTCTTTCTAGGAAGGGGGGGTGGCCCGGGTCGGAGGGCGCCGCTGAACAGCGGGGCCACCGCGCATTGGCGAAGCCCAGCCGCCTTCCAGAATCCAGGCCAGCCTGGGGTCTAGCGTGGTTCCAGGTTCCATGCAGCGAGAGTTCCAGGGCGGCTCTAGAGAATGGCTCTAGGTTCTGAGTTCAGTTCTGGTTCTAACAAGGGCTCCGGGCTCTGGCCCCGCTCCAGAGAGGACTCACAGGTCCTGGCTGGCTTTGGTGTTTAGTCTGGCTCTAAGTGGACTTAAGAGGCCGGTATAGTGACGTGTCCTAGTTCTCCGGAGGCTGAGGCAGGAGGGTCCCGTGAGTTCCATGCCACACTGGCTACATAGTGCATTCAAGGCCAGCCTGAACGACATGGTGGGACCCTGTCTCCAAAAACCAAAAATAAGTAGTAAATATTTAAAAAATAGTGGCCTTAGGGCTTAGTGCATATTGTGAACTTGGCGTTTTGGGGTCTGGCTTGGCTCTAGAAAGGGGTCTTGCCTTGGATTCTCCTGAGAGGGCTCAGCTCAGAGTGCCTGGTGCTAGGCATAGAGTATGGCTGAGGTCCAGGCTCCTGGGCCTAGAGCTCTGGGGACAGAGCTGAGCAGACGCCTGCATCTCCAGTCCTGGCATCGAGTCAGCTTTGATGCTCTGCTCCCAACTGTCCTGCCTTCTCCCCCTCGGGTGCAACCTCACAGCCTCAGTCTGTGGCTGTCTAGGGCTAGGAGACCACAGCGGTTGAGGCCCCAATTCCAGCTGGGATTCATCCCACAGACCCCACCTCTAGGACCCTGGAGGCAGGGCCGGGCCAGCTGGCATGGAGACAGGGCCTGACTTGGGGGCTACAGCGCCCCAAAGAGCTACACCCAGATTTAACTTTTTAAAACGATGGTGGTAAAATAGTTTTTAGCATCCTGATCATTTTTAAGTGTATCATTCAGTGGTGGTAAGGTCACACTGGGTTTTTTGTTTTTTTTTTTTTTTGGTACTGGGGATTGAACTTGGGTCCTTGTGCTTGCACGGCAGGCGGCGAAACCACTGAGCTAAATCCCTGGCCGAAATTCAGAGTTTTATCTCCAGACAGCTTCATCTTGTAAAACTGAAATTGTTCCCATTAAATCACCCCTTATCTCTTCCTCCCCAGCAGGACTATTCTATGAATTTTTGTTTTGAGACAAGAGTCTTGCTTTGTAAGTATAAATAAGGACTAAAAGGTATAACAGATGAAAAGGGGCAAAGGGGTAGGGGAAGTGGGAGTAGGGGAAAGGAAAGGGAATGGAATTAATATGAGAAAATGAAAAAAATAAAGTCTTTGTAAACTGGGAGGGATGGAGGGGTTGAAGGGAGGGCAGGGAAATGGGGAAAAAAAGATGTATATTACAACCAAATCCCACAATAACTGTACAAAAAGCAACAAATAATAAAACCTGTTATGAAAGCAAAAAAAAGAAAGTTGCTTTGTAGTCCAGGCTGCTCTTGAACTAGTAGTTACCCTGCCTCAGCCTCCTGAGCACTGATTAAAGGTGTGTGCCACATCTGGCTGTTCTATGGATCTGGTTTCTGTGGGAATCTCATGTAAGTGTAATCAAGCAGTATTCTGTCTTTTGGGAACTAGTTTATTTCATTTGGTATAACGTCCTCAAGGGCTATCCGTGCTGTGCCTACTTTTTGGACCGTGCTCCTGGTCAAGTTATCACCTCAGACAGTTCCTCTGCTACAGAATGGAAGTAACAGCTGCTCCCCGCAGGATGAGATACTGTAAGTGCCCAGCACCCAGGAAGGACTCCGTAGACAGAAGGATTAAGGAGACGAGGGCAAGAACAGCAATTGCAGGGCAGCCTGACCCGATGGATGGCAAGAATGGCTGGAGCCTGGATGTGGGGCTGTTCCCTGTATCCCACTTCCCAGATGGGGAACTGGGTAGGGGCTCCAGACCTCTCCCGGCAGCTTAGCAGGGGGTGGACTGCTCAGCAGTTCGGGCCCCCTGCAATCCTACCCCTCCTCCAGGATGAGTGGCTCTCCACACTTGTTCAGCAACTGCCAAGATCTGCCTGTGTGTCTTAGTGAGACCAAGTGGTAGCCAGTGAAGGCCCCCCACCAGTATGAGGGTTACCAGCGCAGTGTGGACGCTGTCAGCTTTAGCCCTGACCTAAGGCAGCTGGCATGGGGGTGGCTGGGACAAGTGGGTGATGCTCCAGGAGATGCAAGCATGAGCTGAGCTGGGCCACCCCACACCTCCAGTCCCAGCTTCAAACCCTCCTGGGCTCTCCACCCCGCTGGCCATGGCCACCCAACTCCTCACATCACCCTGCAGCTTGGGGCTCCTCCCCTCCTGGGGGCCCAGGTGACTGTGTAGAGAGGCACCAGGTGAGGGCAAGGCCTGCCCCACACCACAGGCCACCTGGTCCGGGACTCGCCGGTTTGCATCTGGGCCTGTGGGCAGGCACCCAAGTGTCTCCCACCAGGACCCGCAGGGCCAGGGCAACATCAGCCACCTGTGCCATACTCCACATCTGACCTCCTGCTTAGCAGGGTTTGGAAACCCTTGAGGGCAGACACTGGACTGTGGGCTGAGCCACCTTTCAGGCACCTGAGCCCCGGGGACAAGAACACACAACTCCCTGGTCCTGCGAAAGGGCCACATGACCTGGGCTAAGCGCACAGCTCTCTTTGGCTGGCCAGCGGCGGCTACTCATACCAGCCTCTTCCCAGAGCCGGGTCGCAGTCACTGCCGAGGGCCAAGCTGGCCCAAAACTGGAGCGGTATCAATATTTGACTCCAGGTACCTTATGGTCGAACTCCACCACTGCAGCCTGCACATGAGACACTATGTGGGCATTTTATTTGTCCTCTGCAGACAATGATGCCAGGGACTCACGTGGAGGCGATTTCAAAGATGCCACACCAGAGCCAAGGGCAGTGGCACATACCTGTACTCCCCAGCTACTTGGCAGGCTGAGGTAGGAGGATGTCAAGTTTGAGCCCAGCCTGGGGAACTTATTAGTACGTGTGCGAATGTGCACATGCACCTACACACACACATACACTGGCCCAGGGAAGCTCCCTCCTCCACTTCTCCGCCTGTTTTTACTGCCAAGTCAGGCTGGGAATGCAAACAAGAACGTGCCTGGAGAACGTGCAGCAAGGGCCCATGGCTACAGCACAGGAGGGATCAGCAGGACCTGCCGCCTGCAGGGACAGGCACTTGAATACCCAGAAGCCGACATTACGCGCCCCCACCTATGCCTTCACCCTGGTGTCTGGAACATGAGAAGCCAAGCCCAGACTGGCACCAGGACTCCCAGATGCACACCTCCCGCCTTCTTCCAAGCTGGCACACCAGGCAGTGGGGTGGAAACAGTGCAAGCACCAAGCACCTTGGTCAGAGTGCGAGTTTTATTGTTGCTGCTGCACAGCTTAGGCCTTGACCGCAAACTTGCGCAGAGGGTATAGCCGCTCTTTGCGCTGCTGCTTGTTGGTCTTCAGCTTCTCCTCATGCTTGTTGAGCCGGCGGCGCATGGCTCGAGTCTTCTTGGGCCGCAGGTCCAGGGGCTTGTACTTCTTGCCCTGGGGCAGAGATGGGGTGGGGGGCAAATCTGGGCACTGGGGCTCTGGGCTGCAACGCTGGTGGCAACCCAGGAGAGTTGGTTTGCAGTGTGAGGACCTCCAGGGTCACTGCGCAGGGCCACTGCCCTATCTTAGAGCTGCTGCAGGCCCTAGAGAAGGCTTGGCCCAGGCCCCTGCAGTGCCACCTAGACCTGTGACAGGGCTGCTGTCCACACTGCTGACCCCCCAGTCCCCGACAAGTCTTCCAGACCAAGGGGGCTCACTGGACTCTCCTCGTTCTAGGAAGGTCCCCTCAGGGACAAGGCCCAGTGCTGGGCACTGTCGTAGCACTCACCAGACCTGGCCAATGCTCAGGGGGCGCCCAGTCCAGGGAGGACAACTCGCCCTCATGTGGCAGGAGTTTCTCAAGAGTGACGGCAGTCCTGGGGCAGGGAAGCCTCACCACCCACTTCCCTCTGCCACCACCAACGAGGCCTAGTCAACACCAAGTGTCCAAACTCCTTAGGCTCTGCCGCCCCACGCACAGCTATGCTGTTTTTTTGCGGTCACGATAGCCCCACCAAAGGCTCAACAGTCACACAGGCGAGGGCTACTGTGCAGAACCCTCACTTCCAGGGACTCACTGGATCCGGGGACAAGAGCAGGGCACACAGGGGCAGTCACAAAAGCCATTCCTCCTGGCCACCGCCTCTTCGGGGTTCCCTCATAGCCTGACCAAAGCTTCAGGCCTACTCCTGAGAAAACCATTCCCTCACAGGTGTGCACACAGCTCAGATGGTGGCAGCCAGCCCAGCCTCACTGCCACAGCCTCTCTGATGTGTCAACCTCAACACTAATCGGAGTGCTGATGGGAAGCCATTCTGCAGGTTAATTAATGCCCCCCCATCAGATGACTTCCATTAAGCTGGTATTATTATTATTTTTTTTTTAATGGTACCAGGGAATCGAACTCGGGTCCTTGCGCTTTCGAGGCAGGTGGCGGAACCACTGAGCTAAATCCCCGGCCCCAAGACGGTATTATCTTGAACAAGCCAGGCAGCTGAGCCCACCGGTCAAAAGCCTTTTTAGGAGGCCAAGGCTCCCTCCAAGTGTCACCTGGGCCAGCAGGTACCACCTATGTCCTGAGTTCCAGCTCCCAATTACACGAGCCAGGTCCTGCTGCTCCTCCCGCCCGGTTCCTGCTAAAACTAACACCAGGGACAAAAGGAAAAGAGCACTAGATGGTTGTCAAGATTTGAGACC